CCCCCCCCCCCCCCCCCCCCCCTCAAGGGCCGGTACCGGACGGCCGAGGCAACTCAGGATGAGACCTAAAAAATTGTCAATAAGGGTACGGTCCTGGATGTGTCGCGAGGGGACCCAGGGTTTCCACCGGACCGTACCCATCCCAGTCCAGGATGCATCTTCCCATCCTTCGGTGATCTTTCGGATAGGATGGCTCCGACCCCTTCGTTGGAGGCGTCCAACTCCACCATGAATTGTTGCTGAATGTTTGGAACCGTGAGGATGGGGGCCATGGTTAAGCGGTGTTTGAGCTGCCTGAAGGCTGCGTCGGCCTGTGGGGAACAAGAAAACCGAACCCTCGGGGAGGTTAGGGCATGCAAAGGAGCTGCTATGGCACTGAACCCTCTGATAAACCGCCTGTAGAAGTTTGCAAACCCAAGGAATTGCTGTACCTTCCTGCGGTTGTCAGGTATGGGCCATTCAGTGACTGCTTTGATCTTTGCCGAGTCTATCTGAACTCTTCCACGGGCTACAATGAAGCCCAGGAAGGGGATGGTGGTGGCATGATTCTTTTTTTTTTGGCTTTAACCTATAAATTGTTATCCAAGAGCCTTTTTTAAGCACTTGGCTCACATGAATTCTATTGCTGTCAAGGTTAGGAGAATAGGTCAAGATGTTGTCAAGGTAAACATATACAAAGTGGTCTAGGAAGTCTCTGAGGAGGTAATTTATTATGGCCAGGAAAACTCCAGGAGCGTTAGTTAATCCGAAAGGTTTCACCAAGTACTCGTAATGACCACTGGGTGTGTTAAAACCGGTTTTCCACTCATCACCCTCTCTAATTCGGACCAGGTGGTAAGCGTTGCAAAGATCCAATTTTGTGAACACTTGGGCCCACTGTAGCTGGTCAAAAACTGAGGACATGAGGGGAAGGGCGTAGCGGTTCTTGATGGTGATGTTATTGAGGGGGCTGTAGTCAATGCAGGGCCTGAGGGAGCGGTCTTTCTTGGACCCAAAGAAGAACCCTGCCCCCGCAGGAGATGAGGAGGGACGGATGAGACCCGCATTCAGAGAGGTGGTGATGTATTCTTTCATCGCCTCGCGTTCTGGGCCAGAGATGGAATAAATTCTCCCCTTGGGGAGGGTGGAACCAGGGATGAGATCAATGGGACAGTCGTAGGGCCTATGCGAGGAAAGAGACAGGGCCTTGGACTTGCTAAAAACCTATCTGAGATGGTGATACTCAGGAGGTACTGAGACTAGTATGGGGTCGTGATTTCCTGTGAGAGAAACAGTGTGAACAGAGTTAATGTTAGTCCCCTCCTGGATCAAGCCGCCATGAGGGGCACACTCTTCTCCCAAGGCTGTGACCTCCCCTGTGCGCCAGTTTATCTAGGGGTTGTGTCGGAGCAGCCAGGGGAATCCCAGAATCAGGGCATATGACGGCGAACGGATACAAAAAAACTTATGACCTCATGGTGGTTGTGAAGCTGAATCCTGATGGGTTCTATGGCGTGAGTCACTTGAAAAAGTTCCTCGTTATGTAGACCCCTGGCGGTGATGGGCTTCTCTAACGGTTTAGTTTGAATGTTCAGTTTGTGTACCCAGCCCCAATCCATAAAACTTTCATCTGCCCCTGAGTCAATCACCCCTTTAATTCCGAAGTTACCCACCCGGTGGGTTACCTGAATCATGGTGAGGGATCGAGAAGTGGAGCGGGCGGTACTCACGGTTTTATTCCGTGGAAGCCGTTTTGCAGGGCATACTCCCAACTCTCCACAATAAAAACACAGCCTCTCTCGACATCACCGTTGATGCGCCTCCAGAGACAGACGGGCTCTATCCCCCTTGTGAGAGGGCAGGCGGAGCTCCTGGAGTCTGTTGTCCGTCCGGATGACCAGGGCTATGAGGTCGTCTAGGTCGGATGGGAGGTCTAAAGAGATCCCGAATTGGTTTCACCAGTCGTCGGAAAAAACATCATACAGAGCAGCGGAGTTCCAGCCACTCTCCGCTGCCAGAGTGCGGAAGGCGATCGCGTAATCACAGACCGGTCCTTGCCTTGCCTGACTCCTGTCAATCGTTGGGCTTTCTCCTGGTCGGAATTGACCGGGTCGAAGATCCTCCTTAGGGCCCCTGTAAACCCCGCCAGGGAGTGGCAGATATGGGTGTCCCAGGCCCATTTGGCTGTGGCCCACGCTCTGGCTCGCCCCGTCAAATGGGAGAACATGAACGCAACTTTAGACCGGTCACAGGGAAACATCTGCGGAGAATATTCAAAGTGAATAGCACAGTCAATCAAAAGTGTCTGGCATTGCTCAGGCTCGGGGGGTACAAGTCCAATTCTAGGGCCAAAAATGTGCGCCACCAGGGCAGGGAGCTTCCAGCCGGACTCCCCGCCGCAGTCGGGGTGGGCGCCCTCGGCAGTCGCTCCAGCAGCTCCCGGAGTTGACCTGACAGGGAGCTGATGTGGGCCACCATGGTGGACTGGCACTCCTCCAGGTGTCTGATCTGGCCTCCTGGTGACGCAAAACTGCGGCCATTTGAGAGGTCTCCGCTGAGTCCATACTGACCAGTGTGTACTGACAAGGCTGGAGCTCAGACAGAAAAGTGTTGTTTTCTCTGTTGAAGTCACATAATGAGGCAGAGAGAAGTAGACCTGCATCCAAACACCATCGGACACAGCCGACTCTTCCAGCTGTTTTAACCAACAACGCCAATATGATGCCAAGCCCCCTGAAGCTATGAAACTAAACAGAGCTGTGGCAGAGTAAATATGTTTGGACCAGGTTCCTATTTACACTGTGGAGAAACCTGGGTTTCAACGACTTATTAAGCAGCTAAACCCAAGGTATGCTCTTCCCTCCCGGAATCACTTTATGTATAGTGAAATCCCAGAGCTGTACAACACAACAAAACAAACTCGCAGCAGCATCAGGGGAATCCGTACTTCTCCTGTACCACTGACCTTTGGACCAGCAGGGCTGCATCCTCTTTCATGGCTGTAACCCTGCAATTTATTACAGAGTCCTGGGACATGCAGAGCTGGTGTCTGGGATGTGTTGGGCTACATTCAGAGCATACAGGAGACTGCTTTGGAGGAGATAGTACAGGAATCATGGAAGCTGGACACAACTAAAATGGCAGCCATCACTACAGATAATGCTTCATCTAACAAGAAAGCATTTAAGCAGCATTTCACACGGGTCCCATGCTTTGGTCACAACCTGCACTTAGCTATAAAAAAGGGTCTTGATATTGATAGTGTGTCAGGAGCATTATCCAGGTTGAGAAAAACAGCGGCAGCTTTCACAAGGTCACCAAAGATGACCCAGCAGCGAAAGAATAAACAAAAAGACTTGAAGCTACCAGAACACAGACTCATCCATGATGAGCCAACACGCTGGGACTCGTCTTTTGAAATGGTGGATAGGTTTATTCAACAGCAGCAAGCAGTCAGTACAATTTTAGCAGAGGACAGAAAGAAGTGGTATCTTATGCAAAAAGATCACCATTTTTGAGACTATAAAAGAGGTGCTGAGCCCATTAAGCTCTTTTACTGATGCTCTTAGTAGAGATTTATACCACTCTGCCCTCTGTCCTACTGTTAACCTGGAAGATATATTCCACATTAACAATTGAGGACACAAGCAGAAACTTAGAACATCAGCTGAAGCAAAAAATTGGAGATGATCTGAAACACAGATATGAGGACTGGAATCTGCAGCTGGTATTGAACATGGCCACCTTTCTTGATCCCCGCTTCAAGGACAGTTTTACTACATTAAAAGATGATGTAAAACAGCATCTTCTTGTGGATAATATGCAAGGTCTGCACACTCAGTTTGCAAACATCTCCTCCATCTGCAACCCAGCCTATGAAGAAATCCAGAACAGATCTGAAGGGTCTTTTATCAAACATTCAGGGGTAGAGAAAGAAACAACATGGAGATAATACACCAACAGCATCCACAGATTAGGGTCCAGAATGCAGGCTCAGGAATGAGTTGACATTATATGAAACCATGCCTGAGCAGAGTGCAGAGGAGGACCCCCTAAATTGGTGGAAAACACATGAGAGCACCTTACCTCATCTTGCCCATGCTGCCAAGAAATACCTGTGTATAGCTGCTTCAAGTTGTGCCTCAGAGCGTGTGTTTAGCACATCTGGGCTCATTTGCAGCCCAAGAAGGTCAAGACTTACTGAGGAACACATTGACATCCTGGTATTTGTGGCAAAAAATCTGCAAACAGCAAAGCAAATTCAGGCCAGTGCTCCCACCAGTGGCACCTAAACAGATTTTCATTTAGAGTACAGAATATAGGAAAATGCCATTTCTGAACACTGTCTGATTGTATAAATATGTTCACTTTTCAGTTTCAGACTTTTTTTATAACAGGGTTAGCAGCTGAGAATACAGCACTTATTTTTCTTTAACTGGTTTGGATAGTGTCATTGTTCTGTGTGTAAAGCATAGCCAAAGAAGGAACACTTAAGTTCATTTTTGTCACGGTAGTGTACCTGGCTGGGGGTTTTCTGCATCGTCTCAGTATGGTCTCGTCATTTCCCGTTTTATTTTGAAGAATAACCCTCATCTCATTTCAGGTCACTTGCACTTCCTGTTGTGTCAACAGTCCAATTTCCTCCCTGATCACCTATTGTGTACACCTGGGGTTCCCTCATGTGTTTAAATAGTCCTTGTTTCCCCTTGTCTTGTGCCAGTGTGTTGCGTCTTTTGACTACTGTGCAGCCCTCGAAATCATAGAAACCATAGACCCTGCTTTTGATCCCTTGTGCCTCTCTTGAGTGCCTCTTGAGTTCTAGCCTCCTAGTGATTGTTCCTCCTAGTGAGTATTGTTTTGTTACTTTGTTCTTTGTCTGCTTTTTCCTTGTCAGCGAGTGATTTAGATTTTCTACTTTGTTCCCTCCGTGTGGAGTATTTCTGTTGTACTTTGTTTCCACTCCTTTTGAGTGCGTTTTTTGTTATAATAAATTATATTTTTGAACCAACGCTCTGCGACTGAGTCCTCACTGAGCTCCGCCACGTGTCAATACATACTGGCCAGGATGGACTCAGCAGAGCCGTGTCAGTTAGCCGCCACCATGCGGGACCAGGAGGCGCGGATCCGCCATCAGGAGGAATGGCAGTCCTCCATGGCAGCCCACCTCAGGGCTCTGACCAGTCAGCTCCAGGAACTGTTGGAGCGACTCCCAAGGACGCCCACCATGACCACCACGGCGACAAGCCCGGCCGAAAACCCCAGGGAGTTCACGTTTTCGGTCCTCGGATTGGACTCGCACCCCCCCAGCGCTTGTCGGGCGATCCTGGGCAATGACAGGCATTTTTGATCGACTGTGCCATTCATTTTGAGTACTCTCCACAGACAGCCGGTGACCGGTCCAAGGTGGCATTTATGATCTTGCACTTGACGGGGCGAACCAGAGCATGGGCCAAAGCCGAATGGTCCCGGGACTCCCCCCGCCTGCCACAGCTTGGCTGAGTTCACAGAGTCCCTGATGAGAATCTTCGACCCGGTGAAATCCCAGCGATTAACCAGGGTCAGGCAGGGCACCAATACTGTATGCGATTACGCAGTCGCTTTTTGCACTTTGGCAGCGGAGAGTGGCTGGAACTCTGCTGCTTTGTATGATGCTTTCTTTCGAGGGTTGGCGAGCCCCATTCGGGAGCTGTTGGTCCCTTTGGACCTCCTGTTTGACCTGGATGGCCTCATAGCTCTGGCCATCCGGACAGACAGCCGGCTCCGGGAGCTCCGCCGGACCTCCCGTAAGGAGGCCCCCGCTACCACCCTGTCGGTGTTGGCTCCGGGACCCGCCCTCTTACGGACGGAGGAAGAACCTATGCAGCTCTGTCACGCCCGTCTGTCCCCGGAGGAACGCCAGAGGCGCGTCGGGAGGGACGGTGCTACTACTGTGGAAAAATGGGGCGTTTGGTGGGTGTATGCCTGACCAAACGGCCTCCGCGGAACAAAGCTGTAAGTACCGCCTGCTCCGCCTCGCGCCCCCGCACCAAGATCCTGGTAACCCATCAAGCGGGGTGCTTGGAACTTGAAGGGTTGGTGGACTCGGGGGCGGACGAAAGTTTTATGCATGGGGGCTGGGTCCGTAAACTAAAAATCCAGACCAAACGAACAGAACCCCATCACCGCCAGAGGCCTGCACAACGAAGAACTATTTCAAGTAACCCACGCCACTGAACCCATCCAGATCCAGCTGCAAGATCACCATGAAACCATGACCTTTTTTTGTATCCATTCACCGTCCTATGCCCTGATTCTGGGATTGCCCTGGTTGCTCCGGCAAAACCCCTAGATAAACTGGCACACGGGATAAATGACCGCCTGTGGAGAGCAGTGCGCACCTCATAATGGCTCAAGCCAAGGGGGCACGACCATTAACTCTGTATGTAGTGTCTCTCGCAGGAAATCACGACCCGACACTAGCTGCAGCACCTCCCGACTACCACCACCTCCGAGATGTTTTTAGCAAATCAAAGGCCCTGTCTCTCCCTCCGCATAGGCCATATGATTACACCATCGACCTCATCACCGGATCCACCCTCCCCAAAGGGAGGATTTACTCTATTTCAGGCCCGGAACGGGAGGCGATGAAGGAGTATATCAGCACCTCCCTGGAGGTGGGTCTCATTCGCCCCTCCTCATCTCCTGTGGGAGCCGGTTTTTTCTTCGTGGCCAAGAAGGAGGGCTCCCTCAGACCTTGCATTGACTATAGCCCACTTAACAATATCACAATAAAGAACCGATACCCTCTCCCCCTCATGTCCTCGGTCTTCGACCAGCTTCAACAGGCCCGGGTGTTCACTAAGTTGGACCTTCGGAACGCCCACCATCTGGTCCGCATAAGAGAGGGGGATTAGTGGAAAACCGGATTCAACACGCCCAATGGCCCCTATGAGTATCTGGTGATGGCTTTCGGACTGACTAACGCCCCTGGAGTATTCCAGGCACTAATTAATGACGTCCTTCGAGACTTCCTTGACCACTTTGTTTATGTATACCTGGATGACATATTGATTTTTTCACCTAACCTGGACACCCACAAGACTCACGTGACCCAAATGCTCCAGAGACTCCTAAAAACAACTTGTATGTCAAAGCAGAAAAGAGTGAGTTCCATGCCACGACCATCTCCTTCCTAAGCTTAATCGTAGCCCCTGGAAAGGTGCAGATGGACCCGGCAAAGATTAAAGCAGTCACTGAATGGCCCGTACCAGATAACCGCAAGAAGGTGCAGCAATTCCTGGGGTTTGCCAACTTCTACAGGCGGTTTATCAGGGGGTTCAGTGCTATAGCTGCTCCTTTGCATGGCCTGACGTCTCCCAAGGTCCCCTTTTCTTGGTCCCCACAGGCTGACGCTGCCTTCCGGCTCCTCAAGCAGCGCTTTACCACCGCCCCCATCTTCACAGTTCCTGACATCTCGCGACAGTTCGTTGTGGAGGTGGACGCCTCCAACGACGGGATAGAGGCCATCCTGTCCCAGAGGTCACCCAAGGATGGCAGGATGCACCCATGCACTATGACGTATGGAACAAAGAACTGCTAGCAGAGAAGGTGGCGCTGGAGGAAAGGCGCCACCGGCTGGAGGGGGCGAGCCAACCTTTTGTGGTTTGAACCCACCATAAAAACCTTCAATATATCCGACAGGCTAAGAGACTAAACTCTCGCCAGGCATCCTTCATGCGGTGGAGCCACTGGAGGGAACACTGGTGTGCTTAATCACCTCCCCTGGCACTGGTCCCTGAGCCTTCGCCACACCTCCCCTCCTACAGCTGAGCGCCACGCCCCCTCCACAATCACAAAACCTAGCAACCCACAAAGGTACAAAGAAAGGAAAAGCATATTCGTAACCAGTGCTGAACCCATGACTGAAGCTAAACAGTCAACAAGCAAGGTAAAGGACTTGAGCTCCTCCATTGATAAATGTAATTTCTGTCAGAAAGAACACAAGCTAGAATCTTGCAAGTCAATTGTGCAGAAACATCACAAAGACAGGCTGGAATTTCTGAGGTCCAAAGGCTTATGTTTTGGTTGCCTGTCATCTGGGCATCTGTGTAAAACTTGCGAGCAGAGAATAACATGCAAGAAGTGCTTATTGGAACATCCTACTATTTTGCACATAGCTAGGAAGCCTACTGGCCAAACCGAGACTAACAAGACAGCGACTGACAGCAGTCCACCATAATTGGATAAGGAAACTTGTGTTAGCACTGGGGTCGGGGATGCAAAATGTGCTCTAGCTGTGGTTCCAGTGAAAGTTAAGTCTGAGAAAGGAACACGTGTTGTGCAGACCTACGCATTTTTAGACTCAGGCAGTTCAGCTTGTTCCTGTTCTGAGGACTTGATGCGTGATCTCAATGTGACTGGACGAAAGACCAACATCTTACTTCGCACAATGGGACAAGAAAGACCTGTTAGCACAGGTTGTCACAGGATTGGAGATTTGTGGATTGGAATGTGATTCCTATGTGTCACTTCCCCAGGTGTATTCACAAAGGGGGATCCCTGTCAAGGATGATTACATTCCGAGAAAAGAAGATTTGGATAAATGGCCACACCTGAAGGTTCAGGTCAGTTCAGTTTATTCGAACAACAAAACAATATAAGATGTGTAAATACAACACAACACAATGAATACATAAACCATAGTAAATTGTTCGAAAAGGAATGGGACGAAGTATAAACTTTTAAGTTTCCTATCCCTAATGATTCAAGTGACCTAAGTTACTCATTTAACTAGTTACATTCACTTTTCCATATTAATCTACCTGTTTTTTATCTTTCCTCGTCTACATATTTATCAAAAAGTAATTTTTTGTACCTTCTCTTAAACAAATTTATGTTCACACTCTGCTTTAAACACGGCTGTAAACTATTCCATAACTTCACTCCACTACTTGATATAGTCATTCTTTTCATCGTTGTTCGTACCGTCTTCGTTCTGAATACTGCATCTCCTCTAAAGTTATATTTTTCCTCTCGTTCTTGAAACAATTCATTTATATTTTTAGCCACTAGTTTGTTTTTTACTTTATACATTACTTGTATGTCTTGAATTTTACCAGGTCTGTGAATTTTAATGTATATAGCTTTAAAAATAATCGATTGGTTTTCTCTCTAAATCCTACTTTGCATATTATTCTTATTGCTCTTTTTTGTAGTGTGCATATGGATTGTAATGTGCTCTTATAGATGTTGCCCCAAACTTCAAGACAGTAAATCAAATATGGCAAAAACAATGAAAAATGAAGCATTTTTGGTGATTTTGGGTTCAATATATGACTCGCCTTGCTAAGAATAGCACAGCATTTGGCAAGCTTATTTTTCACATAGCTTACATGTGGTTTCCAGCAGATCTTGTGGTCTAAAATCACACCAAGAAACTTTATTTCATTCACTTTTTTGATTTCATTATTATCAATTGAAATGTTTCCATTAATCTCAGAATTCTTTCTTCCAAATATAATAAACTTTGTTTTGTCCAAAATAAGAGATCATTTATTTTTGTCAAACCAAATTTTAAATTTATTCATTTCTGTTGTAATTAGCTCCAAGATCTGCGGTAAACTTTCGCCCGAACAAAATACATTTGTGTCATCTGCAAATAAAATCAATGACAGTGCCCTTGAAACTTTACAGATGTCATTTATATAAATGATAAATAATTTGGGGCCCAGCACTGAACCCTGTGGTACTCCACATGTAATTTCCAAGAGCTCTAATTTATGTTCCCCTATCCTCATATGAGGACATTACATTTTTGCTGTTCTGCACCATGATGCTTAATTTGTAAGAATTTTGACCAATTGCCCTCATCTGGGGGCCTTGCCTGCACCACCTAGTGGTCTCATAATGAAATGACACTCATTTGAAAAAAAACAACATGGCGGGGATGACAGCAAACGTCTTCTACGGCAGCTCCCGACAGAAACATGGACAAGGTAAAAATCCTAATCAAGTTTTATGATTGAAACTAGTTTATTTATGCACAATAATGTCTGTAGCTTCACGTGGCATGCTTATTTGATATATTTGAGTAATATTAGCAAACTACAACGTCTGTAAACATGACGTACTTCTTTAAGGACATCAGGTCTACCTTCAGTGCAAAAACGTAAAATTTTCCAAGAGCATTTGTGTCTATTTCTAGTCAAAATGTCTAATTTATAGTCAAAATAAGTCTTATTACACTTAAAATAAGACTCATCCTGTAAAAAGTAACTTGTTTTTAGACAATCACCACTTGTTTCAAGCTAACTTTCACTAAAAAATAAGTAGAATAATTTGCCAGTGGAGCAAGTTTTTATTTCCTATTACAAGGAAATAGATAGTGCATTTTTATCATTACAGGGGGAATGTCCTTTTTGAGAGCTGAACGATTGCTAAATGCAATCGCAAATGACTCTGAGATTGAAGATTTGTCAGATGGTGAAGAGGATGATCCTACTGTGGGTGAAATCGCTCCATGTGAAGCAACTGTGGAGCAACCTGATGATTCTGATTCAGATTATCAACCTGATGCTGCTGACATAAGTGAAGATACTGACAGCGATGTGAGTGAGCCACAACATAAACAACAGCATCTTGAGAATGATGGTGAGACATAACCTAATTCCCATGTTTTTGCTCCGTAGCACTTTATTTCATTCAGTTGAGTATATTGCAAATAAAATGTATTGTATTTTTATTATCAGAACCTGACCAGGATGTGCAAGGTCGCAGGGCAGGACCAAGAAATGGAAATAGAGAGTACTGGAAGTCTGCTCCATTCAACCCTGTCTTAGTCCCATTTCAAGGAGCTGATGAACAACAAGACGAGAGAGCAGATACACTATATTGCCAAAAGTATTTGCTCACCCATCCAAATTATCGGAATCAGGTGTTCCAATCACTTCCATGGCCACAGGTGTATAAATTCAAGCACCTAGGCATGCAGACTGTTTTTACAAACATTTGTGAAAGAATGGGTCGCTCTCAGGAGCTCAGTGAATTCCAGCGTGGAACTGTGATAGGATGCCACCTGTGCAACAAATCCAGTCGTGAAATTTCCTCGCTCCTAAATATTCCACAGTCAACTGTCAGCTGTATTATAAGAAAATGGAAGTGTTTGGGAACGACAGCAACTCAGCCACGAAGTGGTAGGCCACGTAAACTGACGGAGCGGGGTCAGCGGATGCTGACGCGCATAGTGCGAAGAGGTCGCCAACTTTCTGCAGAGTCAATCACTACAGACCTCCAAACTTCATGTGGCCTTCAGATTAGCTCAAGAACAGTGCGCAGAGAGCTTCATGGAATGGGTTTCCATGGTCGAGCAGCTGCATCCAAGCCATACATCACCAAGTGCAATGCAAAGCGTCGGATGCGGTGGTGTAAAGCACGCCGCCACTGCACTCTAGAGCAGTGGAGACGCGTTCTCTGGAGTGACGAATCGCGCTTCTCCATCTGGCAATCTGATGGACGGGTCTGGGTTTGGCGGTTGCCAGGAGAACGGTACTTGTCTGACTGCATTGTGCCAAGTGTAAAGTTTGGTGGAGGGGGGATTATGGTGTGGGGTTGTTTTTCAGGAGCTGGGCTTGGCCCCTTAGTTCCAGTGAAAGGAACTCTGAATGCTTCAGCATACCAAGACATTTTGGACAATTCCATGCTCCCAACTTTGTGGGAACAGTTTGGAGCTGGCCCCTTCCTCTTCCAACATGACTGTGCACCAGTGCACAAAGCAAGGTCCATAAAGACATGGATGACAGAGTCTGGTGTGGATGAACTTGACTGGCCTGCACAGAGTCCTGACCTCAACCCGATAGAACACCTTGGGATGAATTAGAGCGGAGACTGAGAGCCAGGCCTTCTCGTCCAACATCAGTGTGCGACCTCACAAATGCGCTTCTGGAAGAATGGTCAAAAATTCCCATAAACACACTCCTAAACCTTGTGGACAGCCTTCCCAGAAGAGTTGAAGATGTTCTAGCTGCAAAGGGTGGACCGACGTCATATTGAACCCTATGGATTAGGAACGGGATGTCACTTAAGCTCATATGTGAGTCAAGGCAGGTGAGCAAATACTTTTGGCAATATAGTGTATGTCGCCGGTGCAGTACATGGAACAGTACGTTGACATAGAGCTGATGAAATTCCTTGCCGACTGTACAAATTCTATGTCATTAGCTAAAAGTGGGAGATCTCTCAACACATCGGTTGAAGAGATGTACCACTTTTTTGGAGCATCCATCTTGATGTCCTGCATCCCTTACCCACAAATCCGCATGTTCTGGTCCACTAACCTGAGAGTCCCTGCCATTAGTGACACAATGAGACGCGACCGATTCTTCAAGCTGAGGAGCCATCTGAAGGTGGTAATTGATGACGACATTCCTGAAGACAGGAAAACAGACAAATTCTGGAAGGTGAGGCCTTTCATGAATCGCATACTCAAAGGCTGCCATGCTCAGGCCCGACCAGAATCCGTCTCAATAGATGAACAGATGATACCATTCACTGGAGGCTGTCCGTTCCGCCAGTATGTGCCGCTAAAGCCAAATCCAGTTGGCATGAAGAATTTTGTCCTGGCAACAGCAGATGGCATCGTTCTCGACTTTGAAGTTTACCAAGGTTCAAAGGAACTGGCTGCACAGGTGCTGGACGCAGAAGGATTGGGTTTGGGAGCCCTGGTCCTCAAACGCCTGACAAAAACAGTACATCCTGGTACAAAGGTGTACTGCGATAGGTTCTTCACCACCACATCAGCTGCGGAATCCATGCTGGAGAAGCAGGTATTTATTTTATATAGTTTCCCAAGTACTGTTCAGTTTGTTATTATTAGTTTTTGCTTTTTCGGTTTCAGAGCAGCAAATGATAACTTTCATCAATCTGTGTCCATCTGTTGGTCAATTGTTGTGTCAGTCTGGTTCAGGGTGCAGGTTTACCCTGTTTTCTGTCAAGATGGTTGCCATAAAAAAATTGTCCTTGCTACATCACCTTGAGATTATATAATTGGTTTTGTTTTTAGGTATACCTAACTGGTACAGTCATGAAGAACAGGATCCCAAAAGCAATGCAGAAGCTTCCAAGTGACAAGATCATGAAGCAGCAAGGCAGAGGTACCTCCGCATCAGTTGTCAGGGGAGATGGGAAACTGAATGTTGTGAAATGGTTTGACAACAAGCCGGTCCTGATGCTCTCTGCTGTCCACACTAAGGAACCAGAGAATACCTGCCAGCGGTGGTCCAAGAAGGACAAATGCTACTTAACCATCAGACGACCAAATATTGTACAGGAGTACAATGCAAAGATGGGTGGGGTAGACTTATCAGACAGAATGATGAGCTACTACAGGATGAGCGTGCGAACAAAGAAGTGGACGATTCGCATGCTTATGCACTTCATGGATCTTGCTCTGGCCAACAGCTGGCTGCTGTATCGCAGTGATCATCAAAAACATGGTACCCCAAGAAAGGCTATCATGACGTTCCTCGCGTTCCGCATGGACGTGGCTCAGGTGTTCCTCAACAAGTGTGATGTCACGCATGCAGAGGAAGAGAGTGCATGCTGTTCACAATATGGCCAAAGATCCCTGGTCACTCCAATCCCCCACATCTCAGCACGCACAGCTTCTGCTGCTCATCTGCCGGAAGTTGCTGATCTCAAGAACCCGATGCGTTGCAGACAACAAGGCTGCCATGGGAAATCCCGTGTACGCTGTCTGACATGCAATGTGATCCTTTGCCTGCAAAGTCGGCGCAACTGCTATGAAGCCTTTCACGGAGGCCAGTAGGACTACTTGAATACTTGAATGTTTGTTTGAGTTTGCTATGAAAAGTTCATAAACGTTGCACTTTTCCATGCAAAGCCTTTCACATAGACAAACAGGAATACTTGAATTAATGACTGAGTTCGCCATGACATGTTTATAATGAAGTTCATAAAGTTTGCACTTTTCCATGCAAAGCCTTTCACAGAGGCCCATAGGAGTACTTGAATGTTTGTTTGAGTTTGCTATGACACGTTCATAATGATGTTCATAAACGTTGCACTTTTCCATGCAAAGCCTTTCGCATAGGCAAGCAGGAATACTTGAATTAAGGACTGAGTTCGCTATGACATGTTCATAATGAAGTTCATAAAGTTTGCACTTTTCCATGCAAAAGCTGCACACTTTTATGTGCACTTTTATGTTTGTTGACAGTATAAAATAAAGTTTTGTACTTTGTTAACCAATGGTGTCTTCATTGTGAAAGTCTGGACAGAAAGCAGCGTAAATGTACATACTGTGAAACACAGATGTAAATAATAACATTGATTGAATGGTCTTATCGTCACACAGATAGACCCAATGTCCTCAGACGAGGACATTGGGTTTTGAGATAACCACTTATTGTAGAAAGCTAAAATTTCATTTTTAGGCTAATTGGGTCCTTATGATCCCAAATGACAAGGAAAAAATGTATATGCAAAAACAGACCCATTTTCCTCATATGAGGGGCATTGGTTTTGACATAGTTCAAGAGCACATAGAAAGCTAAAATTTAATTTCACCTAAAATTAGGTCATACTAATCCCAAATAGTAAGGAGACATAAAAAATGCACATCAAACAAAAGCCCGGGTCTCAGGAGGTTAAGATAGTCCATATACCTTTAATATTGTTTTTATTTCCTTCCAGCGATTTATTGTCGTATTCCCTCTTACAAGACCTCAATATATTAGTTAGTTTATTTTTGTACCTCTTGTATTTTGCTTCTGCTTCCACTGTCCTTTTTTTAAGAAAATGTCTATACAATGAGTTCTTCTTCATACACGCCCTCCTCAACGCCTCTGTCACCCATGGACTATTTATCTGTTTAATGCTTTCTTTAAATTTCTTTACTGGGCAGTGCTTATTGTACGCCATATTAAACATATCCATAAATTTCTCATAGGCTGCATTTACATTTTCTTCTATGTACACAGGCTCCCAGTTTTGATGTAATAAATCTTGTTTTAAAGCCATCATGGCTCCCTCTGTTTTAATTCTTTTATATCTAAACCCATTAATTGCAAGCTTCTTTCTATAATTGCAATTAAATAATGTAAAAATTGGTAAATGGTCAAATATGTCTGTAATTAATATACCACTTTCTGTGCTATTTTCCATGTAGTTTGTAAATATGTTGTCAATCAACTTGGCACTGTGAAAAGTTATTCTTGTTGGTCTGGTAATGGTTGGATATAGACCCATACTGTAGACTGTATTTATGAACTGTTCCGTCTTTCTATGTCCTGTATTCATGAGATTAATATTGAAATCTCCACAGATGAATAAAAGCGTCTGTGTCTTATTAAAGAAGTGCCCAAACCATTCAGTAAATAATTCAACATTTCCTCCCGGTGCTCTGTAAACACAATTGATAACAGCATTCTTCATTTTTTCTAAACCAATTTCAATTGTGACGCATTCCAGTAAGTCATCCACACATACCGTCATTTTGTCAACAATCTTAGCATTCAACTCATTTTTCACAAAAAATCCCACACCTCCACCAGTCTTATTGTTTCGATTCAGATGCACAAACTCATATCCTTCCATCCCAAAATCCGCCCCCCTTTCGTTGTTTATCCACGTTTCTGTTATTGCTATGACATAAAAGGGATGTACAACTTGACACACATAGTCCTTTATGTTTACAAAGTTTGTATACAGGCTTCTGCTGTTAATGTGTAGTACTGATAATTTCCCGTCCTGCTTTATTTGATTGTATTGTTTGTCGGTGTAGTAACGACAGTCACTGTTGATGTGAGTGTAGAAGTTGTTGTCGGGATCTATATCCTGTTCCATATCTAGTTGGGATGCTCAGTGTATTGAAATTGGTGTAGGCCTAACTCCGTAATGTCCTGTAAATTATGAAGGTGTGACATACTGGCCTCCGCCAAATCTTCTTTTATGCTTGTCATGTAGGTGTAGTCATTGCGTTACCTTACGGTAGCTCCCAAGACGTTCCTCATTCAAACTTTCTTAACTCCTCCATACTCCTTACTTGAACAACTTTAGCCTCTTCCGGAGCCCCATTTAACTTGATGAATATCTTGCCGTTTACAGTCCACGTTTGTTGTATTTTCTTCAGTTTTTTAAGGAATCTCGCTTGTTTGGCTATTTCCGCATTTTCCTTGGTCAGATGTTCATTTACATAAACATCGGTTCCTTTCAATTTCCTCCCCTCTTTCAACAGTGCCGCCTTGTGTTTTCTGTTGCAAAAACGTATCAGGATGGCTTGCCTATCACCGGCATTTCTCTTCGTGATTGGAAAACAAGCCTCGATACTCCCATTGTCCAGCTCAATTCCTTTAGATTGGAAAAAGGAAGTAACTTGTTGCTCCGTGGACGCTTGCATCTCCATATTCGTTTCTCCTTCGTCTGCAGTGACAGCGCGAGCATACGAACGAGGATTCACCCTGAGGCCTGTAATAATTACCTCGTTTAACCTCGCGTGTTGCTCCAGCTCTGCAACCCGACTTTGTAGTCGCTCGATTTTCTTGTCCTTTTCTGCATTTTGAATACGAAGTGCCTTGATCTCCTCCACTAAGCTCAATATTCCTTTTTGCTGCGTTTTGACCGAGGAAACCTCCTCGGTTAGGAATTCAATCGCTCTTCTTAGTTCCTCCATATCCTCAGACGCGTTCTTCCTTGGAGCCATATTGAAGGAAATCCATATCCAGGATATTGAGGCTGTTGTAGGATTATTAATAGGAACCAATGTGCCAAAGGCTTTGGAGCCCTGGAAGGTTCTTAATAGCACGGGTAATGGGCCTTATGCTACGAGAACCATCCAGGTTTAGGGTTAGGATGATTCTCGTAGCATAAGGCCCATTACCCGTGCTATTAACAACCTTCCAGGGTTGTAAATGGCTCTCTGAAGAAGGAAAACCATAAGGAGAAAGATGAGAAATGGCCAGAAGTATCAGTGAACAGAGTTTCTGTGGCATGTCGCGATGATCTCATTCATCGCCAGATGAAGCTTGACTTTCCTGAAGCTCAGCAAGCAGAGAAAATGGAAATGTCTGTAGAAGACAGATGATTCATGGATTCGGTGTCTAAGTCAGTACAATTAGTCAACGGAAACTTCAGCACTGGTCTTCCCCTGAAAGCGGTGGATGCAAAGTTTCCTAACAAACACATGATGGCTGTGCAAAGGGCAGAGCAATCTGTGGTACATCCCACATCACAGGGTCTACCACCCTACCAAGAATAAGATCAGGGTAGTCTTTGATTGTGCAGCCAAGTTCCAGGGAATTTCTCTGAACTCACAGCTACTTCAAGGGGCCAGACCTAACCAACTCCTTGATTGATGTTTTGATGAGGTTCAGGCAAGAACCAGTAGCCTTCATGTCAGATATAGAAGGCATGTTCCATCAGGTATGGGTCCCTGCCAAGGATGTGACCCTTCTGAGATTCCTGTGGTGGCCACAGGGGGACCACAGACAAGAATTGGAGGAACATAGGATGGTTGTGCACTTATTTGGGGCAACCTCATCCCCATGTTGTGCCAACTATGCACTCAGGCAATGTGCTGAACATTTCCAAGATAAGTTCAGTGCAGAGGCATCCAAGACAGTGATGCAAAACTTCTATGTCGACAACTGCCTCCGATCAATTGCATCTGAAGATGCAGTGGCACTGATACAGGAAGTAAGAGCTCTGTGTGCTTTGGGTGGATTTGGAGTGACCAAGTGGACCTCTAACAGTTGCAAAGTCCTGGCATCGGTTCCAGAAGAGGAAAGGGCCTCAGGTGTCCGAAATTTGGATTTGGACAAAGACTCTCTTCCTCTAGAAAGGGCCCTAGGAGTCCAATGGTGCATTGAATCAGATGCTTTGAAGTTCAAAGTAGCTATTCAGAGGAAAAGGCTCAAAAGACGAGGGTTGTTGTCTATGGTTAGTTCCATCTACGATCCTCAAGGGATTCTCTCTCCCATAATCCTCCCAGTGAAAGGTATACTGCAGGAATTGTGTGAGAGGAAACATGGATGGGATGATGATATGCCAGAACCCCTAGTGAGGAAATGGGAACAATGGAGATAACTCACCTGCACAAGTTGTCAGAGCTGGAAGTGAGGAGATGTGTTAAGACCCATGACTTTGGAACAGCAACAGAAGCCAGACTGCATCATTTCACCGATGCTAGTGAGCGAGGTTATGGCACTTGTACTTACCTGGTCTTGAAAAATGAGAACCACGAAGAACAGTGTTCTTTCATAATGGGAGAGGCAAGAGTTGCGCCTTTAAAACCAGTCACGATACCCAGGCTGGAGCTCACTGCAGCGACTGTAGCTGTGAAGATGGACAACATGTTTCGAGCTGAGCTGGATATTGTCTTGGAGGAATCTCTATTCTGGACTGATAGTACAACGGTCTTTAGGTATATCCAGAACGAATCAGCAAGTTTCGTACGTTTGTTGCAAACATGATTACAACAATCAGAGAACGGCCCAAAGTAAGCCAATGGAGATATGTGGATATGGCGTCATTTTTTTGTGTAAGACATTCTCATGAGCACATTATATTATTTCACAAGCACAAAAATTAACCTTACACAGGTACCTTCAGGGACTGCAGTTCAACAGAACATGGCCAGGTTTGGATGTTGTTCAAAGGATGCATCTCAAATGTTTCAATAACAGCCGTCCTCAGTTCCTCACACAGTTGTTTGATTGCTGATTCAAAATAATTTTATTTCATCTACTCTAACCACAGGTGTTTCCCTGGACTATTTAAAGATGGGCAGAACTGTAGGCCTCCTTCGCG